TCCCTTCTTTTGCAAGAAGTGTTTGATTGAAAATTAGTTTTCTCCAATGTAGCTTCTTCACAAAAGATGTGTAGATGAGGCTTTCGAAGTGTTGAAGAACTGGAGGAACTTTGCTCTTGTTGGAAGAAAAGATATGTAGATGAAATCTTTCCCACATAAGCTTTTCTTGTTAAGGAAGATGGAGTTGTGATCTCAAGAAAGCTTGTAGGTTTGAAGGTTGTGAAACCACAGGTTGAGCAAAAGTTATCCTGTAGTTCTTCGATGAGTATCTTATATACTGGGAGCGGTCTTCCCGTTGGAGTGCAGAAGACAGCTTCATTAAATGCTTGTACTGTTGATTTGACATGTTGGTTCTTCGACTTGCTATTTTGGGGGCGAAAGGATATCCGCATGGTCAATCATCAACTTTAAATATCTCTTCGTACGTACCACATTAATTGAGCATTTAATGCGTGTACAGTACCATGTTCCGTCAAGGAGGCTCCTAGCCGTTAGGGCATTTCCCGTTAGTTTCACGACCGTTGGAGGTTCCTTCGAATTTCTTCTAAGTAAGGAGCATTTCTGGTAGAGGTAGTAGAGGGCAACTCTGTTGATATCCTGACCTTCTGTCTTTGTTGCTTCTCTGATCCAACAGAGATCCTTGAGATTCTCTGTTCCGTCGAATATGCTACAACTTTACACTTAGAAAAATTTCTAATACAAATGTTCTAATGGGGTACTTTAACATTCTAATTAACCTAGCATCATCAAAATCTAATTACAATTATTCCTAACAATAAGTATTGCAAGATTCATAAAAGCGATACCCATGAGACTGACGAGTGTTACATCCTGAAAAAATATGTGGAAAAGCTTACCCGTGAAGGACAACTGGACCAAATTGTGAAGAAAAGCCAGCAGGGACAACACCCGCCGAGGAAAAATACATGGAACAAGGGGAAAGACGAGCCGACCTCAACCTCTAAAAAGAGGGAGGTCGGAGCCCAGTTCGAGTATGATGATGAAGAAGAGGACTCAGGTCGGCAGAAGCGCCCACATGTCAACCAAATCTATGGCGGACCTGTCGGAGGGGACACCACGGGGGAAAGAAAGAAGTCGAATCGCCAATTATTCATCGGGGAAATCAACCATCTTCCTGCTGACAAAAAGCAGAAGCGGGAATCCACCACCTTCACGGGAAAAGACACCTTTCTCAAGGTTAAGACTGATTTTACAAGACTAATGATGAAATTGAAGGAATTAACTTTGCACCGGAGAGGCTCACAAACCTCGCCAATTAAGAGGCTAATCACCAAGGTCAAAGTAACCTAAAGTGAAGCCCACCCCATCTGGCTCAACTATTAAGAGCCTAAGGGTTTAAAATTGGTATAATCATCCTTAACAAAGGAAAGTCGACCTTGACCAAAAATTCAAGGCAAATAAACAAAGGACAAAGGTGATTGAAAACAAGCAACCAGGAAGGCCTAGAGGCCATCCTGGAACTTGTAGACTACACAGGTTCGAAGAAAGAGGTCAACTCCCCGAGAGTCAAAAGAATCTAAGGGAAGAAGTCCGCCCAAATAGGGTCGGAAACCTCAAACAAGCATTGAAGTACCAAACAGATCAAATCATACAATCAGCCAAGATGATCAAAAAGCAGTAATGTATATATGCATGCAGAAATAAAACAAAATGTAGATATGTTTGAGTTACAAACCATCCCACTGGTGGAAAACAACTACAGGCGCGCAGGCCTGGAAAAGATGTCCGTAGAAGTGTTTTTAGAAGTCAGATCAATTACCGGATTGAGCAGGAGGAACTTCAGAGGCTGGGACGGTCAGGGCTTGTCTCTCCTCAGCAACCTCCGGATTCTTCATCGGCTCCGGAAGTCCCCAGGGCTAGGGAAAAGAAGGATGGGTCTATTTTCTAAAGGAGATCATACAGGGACTTCTACATCCCGTATTGTCCCAGCTGGAAGCATAGAGCTCTCTCCTCGTCCAACCTAGCCTCGCCCTCAGAAGTTTGGAGCCAGTCCTGGGCTATTTGTGCCCTACGGCTCAGAATGATCTGCTCCACCCCAGTCAGGACAGTAGCAGGGCTAGCCTCCTCAGCCTTCCTCCTTAGTTCCTCCTCCATTACTCGGTGCGCAACCTCAATATCACCCAGCCTCCTCTGCAACGTGCCCCCTCTCAGCACCGCCGCTTCTAGACTCCTCTCGAGATCTGCAGTTTGCTCCTTAAGGCCTGCCATCAGAGTCTGAGCATCATTCTCCCCTTCGTCTAGGCGACGAGAGCCAGAGGAGGCCAGGATGAAGGCCTGGAAACAATGAAAACGGGACTGTGGGAGGGAGCGATCAGTGAGCATTGAATTGATGGTGGGGAATGAGGGTCGAAACATACCTAAGATATGGAATGGATGGAACGACGGATAGCCGCCCGAGGCGACAACTCCCCAATCTCTTCAGCATCAACGGGAGGAGTGACTGCCAGGCCTAGGGCCACAGAGTTTACTGTATGACAGAACAGAGAAGCAGAATCGGATTTCATCGAAAGACGGACAATGTGAACAGGTGTCAGGGCTCCCCCTGATTGCCACCTTCTTGAGACTGAGCATCCGAGTCAGAGTCCACGTCAACCACATCTTCGGTAGACTTCACAGCGGCTTTTCCCTTCTTCTTGGGCCCGGAGACAGACCGAAATGCCGACCTCTTCCTAGCCCTTTTACCAACAAAGGGCTAAGAGTCAACAGCCGGCGTATTCAAGGTCCCATCACTGTCTCTGGGGATGGATCCCCTCGACTTCTCCGAGGCAGCCCTAATGGTTCCTCGAGTCCGAATTTTCCTAAGAGGGATCACGGGGCCCGAGGTGGCACCAGCTTTTGCAGTAAGCCACTCCAAATGAGAGGCCATCTTATCACCCGCTGCAACAAAACACAAACGATGTCAAGGAAGGAAAACATGTGGAGAAGTAAAATAGATGCCAAACCAAGTGAAGCCGACCTGACAAAAATGTAAGCACTACCACCCTTTCCTCACCTACGTAGTGCCCCATCAGGAAGGGTGCCCCAGCAAGAAGGGTGCCCTATCAGGCTATCAGCGATCATTCTGGCGACCTCGGCATTCCCTTCCGACAAGAACGACATCGCCCATTTCCGAATTAGTTCCCCTCACTTGTTCGTGAATTGAAGTTTGCCATCGCAAGGGTAACCCAAACCCAGTTTTGCCTCCAACCCTTAAAAGAATCAGGGTAGTACTTGGCCTCAAATAAACGGTGACCAGCCCGTTAGGAAATTGAAAGATAGCCTGGGGACTCAAAAGCATCGGGTCTCACAGAATGAAAGAAATGAAGAAAAAGATCGACCGCCGGGCGAATTTTCAAATGAAGGCATCGGGCGATGAACCCAACGATAAACATGTGAGTAGGGGAGAACTGACCCGTAATCACCCCGTAATAACCCATGACGCTTAAATGGGCATTATGTAGCGGGAAACGAAGCCCCACTTGCAATTTGGCTAAAAGGACCCCGAAGTGAAGGGGAGAGGGGGATCAACAATGTTCTACGCGAGAGAAGGGAAGGAACAAACGACACTAGGGCCCGCAAGAGCCACCGCCTCACCGAATTCAGCGTCAGATAAGGCGACGACTGGGACTTGACACCGCCGCCTCACCGAATTTGGGGCTGACTCAGGGTGGCCCCTTCATCAGGAAACACATGGTGCATTGGGACGGAACTTGAAGAAGACATTGAAAAGACTAACCTAATGAAAATTGAAGACGGAGGGAAGGAGTTTCACGGCTTAGGATTCCTAACCAAGAAGACGAAGACCCGAGCAAGAACAAAAATCGCAAAAGTGTTTTATGAAGGACGACATGCGTTTAAATAGCCAAGAAATTAGGGCTAAGAAACCGCTTGAAAACCGCGATCATAGCACTCGAGTACCGAAGGTAGAAGGGCGGATGGGAAGCTGTGCCGAGCTGCAGACTTGTGTCGAGCACGAGTTGCTTGCATTTAATTCGAAACGGCGCTACAGTCCACCCAAAAAGATTTGAAATTTGAAATTGATTAACCGCTCAATGTACTCTCCTAAAATCCAGCCCTGCTGATTAAAGAGAGTAGGGGGGCTCGTGATGGTACCATGGACTCTGACCATGGCCCAATTACGTAATCCAACCCATAACGGGATCAACCCTTAACGGGATTAGCCTAATTAACGGGATTAGCCCATAGACGAGATCAAGCCCTGATCGAGATTCATATTGAATAAGCCACTAGGCCCAATTAGGAATCAGGCCCACGATAGGAACCCACAGCCAGACTGGGCTGGACAACAGATCTCGAGCCTGGGCGAAGTTCTAGTGAGGTCGAGATATTCCTAGGGTTTCGTGGCAGACTATCATTCGTGCATAGCTACTTGGCAGCAGGCAGGACTCAAGAGGAAAATGTAAACTTGAAGGAGATAATCATTACACAACGACCAAGATGTTACAAGAGTTCTACTAGGACTAATATTTAATTAATAGCATTTATTGTAACAGTTTCCTCCGAGAATGCTAACTCCTAAAGTCTATAAATACTTCATGTAAATACCTTATGAGGGGATCGGCGAATCATTGTTCTGAATAATAATAATACTGCCTTACGCTGCAATATTTTCATATCTTTAGTAGATTTAGCTCTTGTAATTGGATTAGACTCCATCAAATGCACATTTCAAAAGTATCATATTACATTAGACTCACATATTGAAATTAATAGGAGGGGATTATAGATATAATATACTTCCTCCGTTCTTAAATAAATGCAACAGTCAACATTTCACACTTGCCGAGACACAACTTTGACCATAAATATGAATGATTTTGTATTAGTAAAAAAATTAAAAAAATTAGATTATGAAAATTTACAATGAGACAAGTTTAAAAATATTTTTTCATAAAATAATATTATTACATTAATAAATAAAATGTAGTCAAAGTAGAACATGTGAATAGTGTAAAAGTCAAAGTGTTGCATTTATTTAAGAACGGAGGTAGTAATAAGTTTTTATAAAAGAAAAAATAAGAAAAAGAAAAAGAATTAGAAGATTTGAAGCAAAGATAGTGATACTCATTGTTACCCTTCTAATACTCAATAAAATAGATCAGATGCTAACTAAAAGTACACTATTGCTCATTTAGCGAAAGCCGTGATTTTTTGCTTAAATTACGAAAATGCCACTGATTTTTTTTGGCATGTATTAGTTATTGGGCTGTCTTCCTTAGTTGGGCCGGGTGTACATACAACCGGATGTATGATATAGGAGCCGATTAAATTAGCGCTTCCAACTGTTGCTCACAACCACGCCCCCCATCCAGGAAACATGTGACTCAAACGATCTGGATCTGTTGCATCTTGTATAAGTTGTTGTACCTATATGTATACAAAATTTGTGAATGGGTCATGTGTTACATATGACACGAATAATCATAACTGGAATATGCCATACCATTTAACTCAACCATGGACGTAAACAGTACTCCTGGAGTTTTAGTTGGACTGAGGCAGAAAATTAATTCAATTCATATAAAATTTGTATATCACAATTTTTAAAAATAAGAAAAAGTTTTTGTCCGGGCCTGGGTTGCCTCAACCTCTCGTTACTAGAAGGACCAAAGGTTTATATTTCAAATTACTTTTACAAACTATAAGTTCTTATACAAATAAATACCTTGCCTGTAAGTGTGCACCATATTGAGAGTAATATATAAATAACATGAAATATATTTTAAAACAAACACATCTGGCGTAGAAAACTAAAAGTGCAGGTGAAAACAATTAGAATGAGATTCTGATCCATCTTCCACCCAATGAATTACCATGCATATATGGCCATGTGGGATGGACTAGCATGGGTTTGCTTTAGTGAATAATGCATATTACCTGGCCGTGTACACTTCTTAATTCACCATCCTCATATCCATCTAATTTCTGTTTAACACGCATCAATGCCCTTGCAGCATCTTTATTTCCTTCACATTCATCTTCTTGTGAGCTCTCCAGGCTAGTCTCTAGATCTTCATTAATATCCTACGAGACACCATGACAAGTCAGAAACAAGTACAGAGTATTATAAATTAATATTATTACGAATGAATTATTGATAATGATGCCAACACTTCGGGATGAAACATGAGTGCACAGAGAGCTGAGTAGCCTGAGTTATTATCCAAAAGCAAACACCTGAGAAAGTGATGAAACTTGACGTAGAATATTGAATGTTAATAACTAGAGGTTTTTTAATTTCACAAAACAGTTATAATAGCACTCATACTTTGGATCCGATGTGGACAATATGATATTAAAACTTTGGATTTATAAAAAATAAACTTTTTTAGTACAAACTAAAAATGACACATACTCCCTCCGTCCCATTGAATTTTGACAACTTTCCCTTTTTTGTTGTCCTAAAAACTTTGACACTTTCCCATTAAAGTAACTAATTAGTGGTTGTGGTCATTTCTATGTCCTCTGCACATACCTGAATCTCACAATTTTTACTTTTCTTATTTCTCACATAATTCAAAGTGTGCAAAGTCCATTGGGACGGAGGTAATATCTAGGGATGACAATGGGGCGGGTTTGGGGCGGGGCTTCACTCTCCCATCCTCCGCCGCATCGCCCATGCCACATCCTCGTCCCACCCTGTTGCCACCCACGGGTGCCCGCGGGTGTCCGCATATAGATTTTATTTATCTTATTTGCATATTTTTTAATTCATTATATATATATATATATAATATGTGTGTGTGTGTGCGCGTGCGTGTGTGTAGCACTGAAAAAGTTAAACTAGCAGATAACATCGTTTTTGATAAAAGTTATTATCGCCGATTTTTAATAATTTTTCGATTTGACTAAGTTATATGAAGACAATTAAACTAAAAATATAAGTAAACATATTCTTCCAAATTCCTCATAAATTATAATACAATTATATACACACACACACACATATACATATGTATGTGTTCTATTTACTAACTTTCTCACTTCTAAAACTCATATAATATTGTGGTATAATATGTATTAATATTATACCAACATAACAAACTCTAAACTCATATGCCTAAAATAAGTTGGTATAATACATACGTTAGTAACTTTCTCACTTCTAAAACTCATATGTTTAATATTGAAAAAGTAGGACAATCATTACATAATATTGTGGTATAATATGTATTAATCATTAACCCTGGCTAAAACACATACATGTATGGTATGTCTGTATGTACATGCATGTCTTTCTGTTAGAAAATAGAAGAGGTTGTTGGTTGTATGAGTAGAATAAGTGATTTTAGTGAGGTGTAATGTAGATGATGTGTTTTAGAGGAGAGCTCTTGTCTCTAGAAAAGTAGTATTGTATTGATGTTTCTTGGTTTTGCTTGGTTTGAAAATGAGTACAATGAGTCCTATTTATAGGAGCTAGAGGATCATTCTAGATCCTTATTAAATGCTATGATTCTAGAGTATTCTACATCTATGTCTAATTACTCTAGATTTTACATAAGAATTCTCTAGTAGAGAATTTTCTAGAATACTTTCTACCTTTAACTCTCTAGATCATCTCTAGCCTTTTCTACATAGAATATTCTAGATAAATGCATCACTATTTAATACTCCTCCTTGATGCATTTGTCGGTGACTCCAAGTATTCTTCGCAGAAAGTGGAATCTGTCTCTTGGCAGGGCCTTCGTGAAAATATCTGCCAATTGTTCTTCTGTTGGGCAGTACTTCATCTCAATATGCCCCTTTGCTTGGACATCTCTCAAGAAGTGATACTTGATATCGATGTGCTTAGTACGATTGTGCTGAATTGGATTTTTAGCCATCGCAATAGCTGACTTGTTGTCGCAAAATATTTGAGTCGCAGAACTTTGCAATTCTCCCATGTCTTCTAATATTCTTTTTAGCCATATAGCTTGGCACGCTGCTCCGGCTGCTGCAACATACTCGGCTTCGGCTGAAGATAGTGCAACAGAATCTTGCTTCTTTGATCCCCATGAGAAAATTCCCGAACCCATCTTAAATGCGTAACCGGAGGTGCTTTTCATGTCATCTTGAGATCCAGCCCAATCACTGTCGCTATATCCAGTTAGTCGTGAGTCAGGAGTTGTTTTGTACCAAATACCATAATTGATGGTTCCTTGTAGATACCTAAGGAGTCTCTTTGCCGCTCCATAATGAGTCTCAGTTGGACTTTCCATGAACCTCGAGAGCAAACTTGTAGCATACATGATGTCCGGCCTCGTAGCCGTTAAGTAGAGTAGACTCCCAATCAAACTTCGGTAATTGGTTGCATCCGTCTGCTTTGACCCATCTTCTTTCTTCAATTTTTCATTAGGAACCAGTGGAGTAACGACGGCTTTGCAGTCTTGCATTTTAAACTTCTTTAGCATGTCCTTAATATATTTTTCTTGAGATAAGAATATGCCTTCTTCTTCTTGACTTATCTCCATGCCAAGAAAGTAGTGCATTAATCCCAAGTCACTCATCTCAAAAGTGTTCATCATGTCTCTCTTAAATTCTTCAATTAATTTGGAATTATTTCCCGTGACAATTAAGTCATCAACATATAGAGAGACGATGAGAATGTCAGATTTACCTTGGGATTTGATGTATAGTGTAGCCTCGTTCTTACTCCTCCTGAACCCTTGACGGGTGAAGTATCCATCAATCTTGCTATACCACGCTCGTGGAGCTTGTTTGAGCCCGTAAAGCGCTTTCTTTAGACGAAGAACTTTTCCTTCTTCTTTGATGAATCCTTCTGGTTGCTCCACATACACTTCTTCTCGTAGCTCTCCATTTAGAAAGGCTGACTTGACATCTAGCTGATAAATTTTCCATTTCTTCTGAGCAGCAAGAGCTATGAGTGTTCTTATTGTGTCCATCCGGGCAACTGGTGCAAACGTCTCTGTGTAGTCAACTCCCGGTATTTGAGCATACCCCTTTGCAACCAGCCTTGCCTTATGCTTCTGAATTGAGCCATTGGGGTTCAATTTTGTTTTATACACCCATTTGACTCCAATAACCTCCTTGTTATGTGGAAGATCTACCATTTCCCAAGTATCATTCTTTTCTATCATTTTGATCTCCTCCTCCATTGCTTTAATCCAAACTTTTTCTTTGGAGGCTTCGGTGTAGCTATATGGCTCCAAGGAGCAAAAGTTGCATGTTTCATAGATGTCAGTAGACTCATATAGGTCTGCTAGAGTTCTTACCCGAAGAGGTGGGGACTCTGGTGAGGAGTCGTGATTTCTTGATGTATTAGCTTCAAAAGAGGATCTTGGAGTAGACGTGGGGCTTTGTTGATCGTGATTTTCCTCTTCTGGTATTTCCTCTAGTTGGACAATAGTTGTCTTTCTTTCAACTTTTTCTGTCTCCCAATTCCAAGAGGCTTGCTCGTCAAACTCCACATCTCGACTTGTCACCAACTTCTTTGTCTCGAGATTGTAGATTCGATATCCCTTGGATTTGGAGCTATAGCCAAGGAAGATGCCCTTCTCTGTCTTGTCTTCTAATTTGTGCCTTTTAACAGAGGGAACATGAATGTAGCATATGCTTCCGAAGACCTTCAAATGTTTGGCTGAAGGCTTTTGTCCAGACCATGCCTCAATAGGTGTTTTGTTTAAAACCGCCTTAGTTGGACACCGGTTTAGAAGATAGACTGAAGTATATAATGCCTCTGCCCAGAACGTTTTAGGCATTCCTTTTTCAGCTAACATAGACCTTGCCATCTCCATGACTGTGCGGTTCTTCCTTTCGGATACCCCATTTTGTTGTGGAGTGTATGCTACTGTTAGTTGATGCTCTACACCTTCATCTTCACAGAACTTGTCAAATTCTTTTGAGTTGTATTCGGTAACTCGATCGCTTCTCAACTTCTTGATTTGATGACCACTCTGTTTCTCCACGAAGTTCTTGAATCTCTTGAATATTCTAAAGACTTCGGATTTTTCTTGGAAAAAATACACCCATGTCATCCTAGAGTAATCATCGATGAAGAGTATGAAGTACCTGTTCTTTGAAACTGAAGGCGTGCGCATTGGACCGCAAACATCGGTGTGGACAAGCTCTAGTATCTGTTTGGCTCTCCATGTCTTTTCTGTTGGAAATGGTTGCCTGTGCTGCTTCCCAACCATACATCCTTCACATACTCCTTCTTTTTCATCCAGTAGAGGCATGTCTCTCATCATCTTCTTTAGGTGTAGTAATCTCAAGGCATTGAGATTGAAGTGCCCAAATCTTCGATGCCATAGACTCGTATCACTCAGTTGAGCCACCATCGCCTTTTGTGGATATTGCCATTGAATAGGAAAATTTCTATTATTTCCCATTTTTACTTCAGCAATTTCTTGATTATTGTTCTTGTCATAAATTCGGCAAGAATTTTTCTCAAAGTGCAAGGCATATCCACTTTCCATCATTTGGCCAACACTTAGTAGATTTTGTGCAAGGCGTGGCACTAGGAGAACGTTTCTAATAAAGCGCGTACCTTTCTTTGTATCTATGACAATGGTACCTTTCCCCTTTGCCTCCACCAAATCGCCATTGCCCATCTTGACTTTTGTCTTGATAGAGGTATCTAAGTCATGGAAGATGGTCTCGTTGGATGTCATGTGATTGCTGCACCCACTATCGATGTACCACTCTTCTTCTTTTGCTTCTATGGCTGAGTGACATGCGTAGAACATGTACTCCTTCTCCTTAAAATCTTCAGAATAGTTGGCCTGATAGTTTCTTCTATCTCTGCAATCTTTTTCTTCATGCCCGAACCTCTTGCAATTTCTGCATTGTGGCTTTCCTCGATGGTAGCAATCTTTCTCTAAGTGATTAGTCTTCTTGCATATTTTGCATGGTGGAAAGTTCGTCTTCCTCTCCTTGTTGTTAGAATTCCCATCTTTATGTGGTTTAAAGTTTTCACCATTTCTCGAGTGATTCCTTTTAATGTTGAGCTTAGACTGGAAGGCACTTTCTAATGAACTTTCGTGTCGTCTGTTTAGCCTTTGCTCACGTGCTTCTAGCGACCCCAT